AAACATCTAATATATACCTTTGATCAGTATACAAAGTCTATAATGTGGCTGTATATTTCTCATAATTTCATCTGCACTGAGTTTTTTAACAGGCTGATCAAAAATACGTATCTTGCGTGACAGGATCCAGGATATTCCCAGTCCCCTGGTATGGTATACCACCATTCTGAATGCTCACCACACTCTGACGTTTCCTGACGATCTCATTGATGTAGGCTTTCATCAACTTGGCAATCTCAAATACCTGGGAGGGAACAGACAGGAGGAGCAATAATGCCAGCAAATTGAACAGATTTACAAAGAAACCGAGGGGAAAAGGTAAAGATAGGATGAAAAGGCGGTTTACAAAAAGCTGTCTAAAGATCATCTCAGATACCTGGTTGGTTTCAAACGAGAGCTCGTGTCGTCTGCCTTCCACTACAATCTTGTACTCGTTGGGGATAGGTGCTCCAAATGACAGAATCCTGAAATCCAAATTGAAGTCAATTAAAAGAAGTCAGTTTCATCAAACCCTACTTTTTTCTCTGCAGTAGAAGTTGCCATGCAGATGACATTCAAAAACTTCAGCAATCCAATATACCCCACAGTCAACAAATTACAGCACATGGGCAGCCAAATGAGTGGCCAATTTTAAGAGCAGGTCCGCCCGGAAATGGCTGGCTAGATGGAAAACTGGCCAGTACACTTACTAGTCAACCAATTTTGCCAGCTTGGAGCCCACAAGAAAGCTAACCGGCAAGGAATCTACCAGCCATTCCAACCTGTCAACCAACTGGGCCTCGATTATCAGCCCAGTGAACCTACTAGCTAGTTGGCCCAAAAACCCCCCGGCCAAAAGCTGCCAGATAACCTGCTATCCAACTATTCCTAACAAGCCCCCGCTACCAGGTCTCAGCACAGTCCACTCACTTCTCGTAGGGGATCTCCTCGATGGGGCTGGCCTCTCCCTGTTTGTGGACAGCCACCATGCTGGAGCTGACTGCAAGCCAGAGGTTGGGAGGGAATCTGCCGTCGGTGCTCTCCACCTCAAACAGACGCGCTCCATAGTACTTCCACTGCTGTATAACACTCATGTAGGCCTCTTGAGCCTTCTCGGGACTCATCCCCTGAAGCAAAAGGAACCACTCATTTTGAAAGTTCAAGTTCACATCTTGAATGACTACCCAAGCCAACAAGTTAACAGACCTTATTCTAATACTCTTATACATTAACCTCTTAATTTTATCCATCAAGTAACGAATCACTTTTTTTTGCCTAGTGCAGTGTAGTATACTTTCCATGCAATTGAAAGTTCCTTTTAAGGTACTTTATACTAAACTCAATGCCCACCTTGAGTGTCTTCCACTTGTCAACAACCAGCGTGGTTGTGGCGGAGATTTCATCGGCATAGACAGAATCCAGGATGGAGTCATCTGATGCCGACTTCTGCAACTTCTTTAAAGTCTTCTCACCCAGTCCTCGCAGAGTTCCCTTGCAAAAAGAAGATAAATTGATCAATTTATACAGGTTACATAGAACATTTTTTCAAATGGCCTTTCACGAACAGTGTCAAAAATGAGAGCTGCCCAAAATTTTAGAACTGACTGGTCAAGTTCCAGATCTGACAGAACAGGTTCTTGATCTGAACAGGGAAGTCTGATTGGGCAAGTGAAGTTTCAGATCTGAATGGACAAGTTCTTGACTTTGAGTGGGTTACGTTCCTACCTAAATGGATGAGCTCCAGAACTAGACAAGTTCCAGAACTAAAAAGACAAGTTCCAGAACCAGACAGACAAGTTCCAGAACTGGGTAGACTAGCTCAAGATCCTGGCTCCAAGGTAGAGTACACTTACTGAGATGATGTTCTCCTTGCGCTGCTTCATCGGGAAGCCGGCGTAGTCTGTCTCTTCTTTCTTTGGCTGGGTTTTGAGTCTGTCTATTGGGTAGACTTCACTCAAGTCACGTCTGGAAAGGCAAATACGACATTAAGTACCACTGCACACAGAGCTGCCAATATTTCATTACTTTCTGAAAGCATAAGGAAACATAAAATAGCGTCGCTTTTCAAAAGAAACTGTTTTATACAGAATTGAACTTTTCTGATGCCCTTTGCACCGACATTTTGTTGACATATAGCTAGTTAAACATGGTATCCAATAGTCAGTTTAGCGTTTTGGTCATGGAGGTGAGGGATAGGGGGTTCAACTAGGGGAGAAAGAGGGGCAGCTCTTTTCATTGGACAAATCTTTCCATTGCCGAATTACGAGACCAAATTGAAAGCTGGAAGGACCTGATCTATACTACGATCTGCTTCATCACTGTTAATGTCAATGCGAAAAAATCTACATGAAAGTCCCCTGATCATTTTAAAAAGGAAAAAAACTGAGGGAGAAACAGCAGGGAGTCTCACATCCAATCATTCTGCACGTAGTCACCCCGGATGAACTGTGTACGCAAGGCAGCCAGGTAGACCAGCTTCTCAGGGGTCGTGGGGAAGAAACCACGGATGACATCCTCACAGGCCTGGTCGGGAAAAAACCAAAACACGGACATGAGGAAAAACCTCCTGGACAGAAACAAAACACGGTTTGAAATCGTTTTGCTTCTGTAAGTTCCTTTGTACTTTAACTGAAGAACAAATGCAGTGTGAGCAACTAGAGCAAATACCCTGAATAATGATCCTTTAAACTTCTTCGATAATTTTTCTAAAACAGTAAGTTCCTTCACAATAAAACGTACATGCATCACTGCTAAAACATCAGTCATTCATGCTGGCTTGAAAAACAAAACTCTGCACACACAACATGCTCAGACTTTCCCCGCTGTGAATTCATCAGAGCTCCGCTGGACTTGGGACATAGATTAAAAGGACTTACTTCTTCATACAAGAAGCTGTACTCGATGCTGCCCTGCGAGACGTTCTTGGTGTCCAGGAAGCAGAAGAGCTTGAAGAAGAGTTGCCAGGGCTTGCCCCGGTCGCTCAGCCCCCGGGCCTTGTAGCGCTCAAACTTGGCGATGACATCGGCGATGACCGTCCGGTCCTCGATGGCCTTCTCCACATGGCCGCTGCGCTCGTACAGGGCAAAACGGTTGTGGCACTTGTCCAGGCCCATGCCCTTGACCAGCGTGTGGACCACCTTCCGGTTAAAAGAGAAAAAAAATGGAAAACCTGACTGATTTCATCTTATGTCGCTTCTCTGCACCCGACAATGATCATTTTGGCGGCGGTAGTCGAGTCCATCACAAGTCCCTCCAAGTTTATCACAAAACTACCACAAATCAAATGGTCTTGATCCAGTCAACTATTTGCGAATAAAAGCATTCCCTCGTCACTGCTTATCCTGTTGCTTGTGACCGACGGTGGCAAAATGATTTTCAAGGCGGGGGGACAGTTGTGAGACCATC